ACGAGGTGGGAAAAAAAAAAAAAAAAAGGAAAAATAAAAAGAATGGGAGCGGGGGACAACAAAGGCGCGCTCCGCGATTGTCCCGCCGTGCCGCCTCCCTAAGCCCTTTCCACATTAAAGGGATTTTCTGGGAGGCTCCGCTCCGCGCCGCCCGCCTCCCATTGGCCGCCCCGCCCCGTCCATTTGCATCGCGCCGTCTATTAAAGGCGCGGAGGCGGCGCGGACGGGCGCAGACGGCGGTGCAGGGTGCGCGCCGAGCGCTGCGCGTCCCGTCCCCCGCGTCCCGTCCCGCGCCGCACGTCGCGTCTCGCACCGCACCGCACATCACATCCCGTCCCGTCCCGTCCCGTCCCGTCCCACCGCCCCAAGGCATGAGCCCCTCCGCCCGCCGCCCGCTGCGGCTGCTCGCCCTCGCCTACCTGCTGGCCACGGCCCTCGGCAAGACGGTGAGGTACCGCACGGACGAGGAGGGGGCGCCGGGCACGGTCATCGGCACGCTGGCCGACGAGATGCCCGTGAAGGCGCCGGGCGAGATGAGCTTCCGCCTGATGCGGCAGTTCAGCAACAGCTCGCTGGTGCGGGTGCGTGAGGAGGACGGGCAGCTGAGCATCGGCGACGCGGGGCTGGACCGCGAGCGGCTCTGCGGGCAGGCCCCRCAGTGTGTGCTCGCCTTCGACGTGGTGAGCTGCTGGCAGGAGCGCTACCGCCTGGTGCACGTGGAGCTGGAGGTGCGCGACATCAACGACAACGCGCCGCGCTTCCCCCACGCGCAGATGGCGCTGGAGGTGTCCGAGAGCGCCGCGCCCGGCACGCGGCTCCCACTGGAGGTGGCCGTGGATGAGGACGTGGGCTCCAACTCCATCCAGAGCTTCCAGGTGTCCCTCAACAGCCACTTCGGCGTGGAGGCGCAGACGCGGGCAGATGGGGCGCGCTGCGCCGACCTGGTGCTGCTCCAGGAGCTTGACCGCGAGCGGCAGCCCACCTACACGCTGGAGCTGGTGGCCAAGGACGGCGGCAGTCCAGCGCGCTCCGGCACGGCCACCGTGCATGTCCGTGTGCTCGATGCCAATGACAACAGTCCCACCTTCGCGCAGAGCTCGGTCACGGTGGAGCTGCCCGAGGATGCACAGCCCGGCTCCCTGCTGCTTGACCTGGATGCTGATGACCCCGATGAGGGCCCCAACGGTGAAGTCGTCTACACCTTTGGCAGCCAGGTGCCCCCGGAGGCGCGGCGGCTCTTCCGCCTCGATCCGCGCTCCGGCCGCCTCACGCTGGAGGCCGCCGTGGACTACGAGCGCACTCGCACCTACGAGCTGGATGTGCGCGCCCAGGACCGTGGCGCCAGCCCCCGTGCTGCCACCTGCACAGTCATCGTGCGACTCACCGATGTCAACGACAACGCGCCGCGCATCAGCATCAGCGCCCTCCGCGGCGCCACCAGCGCCGCCGGGGTGGCCTATGTCAGCGAGGCCGCCGCCAGCGAGAGCTTCGTGGCGCTCGTCAGCGCCTCGGACCGCGACTCAGGCGCCAACGGGCAGGTGCGCTGCAGCCTCCGCGGGCACGACCACTTCGCCCTGCAGCGCGCCTATGAGGACAGCTACATGATAGTGACCACGGCGGCGCTGGACCGCGAGCGCATCCCCGAGTACAACCTCACCGTGGTGGCTGAAGACCTGGGCTCGCCGCCCTTCAAGACCGTCCGCCAGTACACGGTGCGGGTGAGCGACGAGAACGACAACGCCCCGCTCTTCACTAAGCCCCTCTATGAAGTGGCCATGCCAGAGAACAACCCACCTGGTGCCTACATCACCACCGTGGTGGCCCGCGACCCTGACCTCGGCCACAATGGCAAAGTCACCTACCGGCTCCTAGAGACTCAGATCATGGGGGCCCCCATCTCCACCTATGTCTCAGTGGACCCCGCTACTGGGGCCATCTATGCCCTCAGGACATTCAACTATGAGATCCTGAAGCAGCTGGACCTCAGGATCCAGGCCACTGATGGGGGTTCCCCGCAGCTGTCCAGCAGCACCCTTGTCAAGGTGAGGATGGTGGACCAGAATGACAACCCACCCGTCATCATCCACCCGGTGCTCACCAACGGGTCAGCAGAAATTGGTGTTTCCAGCAAGACCTCCCGTGACTCCCTCGTGGCCCAGATCAAAGCCCGAGATGCAGATGATGGGACCAATGCCGAGCTCACCTTTGCCTTCCTAGAGGAGCCTCAGCAGGAGCTTTTCACCATCAACCCAAGCACTGGGGACATTGTGCTGAAGGGTGACCTCTCTGAAGAGCTGGGACAGCTGTTCAAGGTCATTCTCACTGTGACGGACAATGGCAGACCGCCCCTGGCCACAACTGCCACCATCAACTTTCTAGTGACCGCCACGGCTCCTTCTAGCATCCAGGAGATAGTCAAGCCCAGCTCCTGGGAAGGAAAAGCTGTTCAGTGGGACATCCCTCTGATYGTGATCATTGTCCTGGCAGGCAGCTGCACCCTCCTCCTGGTGGCCATAATCACAATTGCCACCACCTGCAACAGGCGCAAGAAGGGCAACGAGATGAAAAGCCACAGTTCCTTGAAGGAGCAGGTAGACATCTCCCACCTGGAGAAGGGTCGGCAGGAGGACAGCAGCCAGAGGGCAAACGTGTTTGAAGTACGRACCTTTCCCAGCAAAACCTCCTTCACCAGCCCCGATTCTTCCCCGGCTGCCGAGGAGATCTCGGCTTCTGAAAACGGCAGCGAGAGCACCTGCCTCTACGAGGGTCAGAAGCGGCTCAGAGGGACGAGCGGGGAGGTGAGGCTCTGCCGCGCTCCGCTGGGCTTCCTCTCCGAAGGGTGAAGGGGGAAAGGGATTAGAAGGGAGTGTGGGAGGGCAGGTCTCGGGTGGCATGAACTGCAGATGTGTAGTTCTAATGTTGATTTATCAGTTATTATTTCTCTCTCTATCTCTCCCCTTTGATCCGCTCCCTGCAGGGTTTCGCTGCCGCTCCGAGCTACAGCAAGGAGCCCGCCCCTGCCGTTGCTGTTTGGAAGGGGCATTCGTTCAACACCATCTCCGGGCGAGAGGCAGAAAAATTCAGTGGCAAAGACAGTGGCAAAGGCGACAGCGATTTTAATGACAGCGACTCGGATATCAGTGGAGATGCCCTGAAGAAGGATCTCATCACGCACATGCAGAATGGTAAGGACTCGGTCCCTCCCCAACACGAGCTCCTGACTGGCCCATGCATGCATGCAGGTAGACAGGGAGTGCACAGAGACCCCTCTCTGCAGCACGGTGACTAGCTGGGGCAGCTGCAGAGGGCAACGTGATGCTCCCTCWAGGAGCTGCATGGCTTAAGCTGCCTGCCTCTTCACAGCAGGCTGCTAAATGGTGATTTCTTTCCGCGTTGCGCACCCAGTGCAAATTAGCAGATGCTGGAAGTGCCGTAGACACTCTATTTCTTCCCTCCCCAAAGAGCTTCCTTTCAAGTTACAGTTGTGAGCCACATCCCTAGCAAAACGCTYTAGCTGTAGCTTCCCAAGCGTGCTTTTCAGCTGTGCTTTGAGCATCACTTCCTCGACTCCCACTGCCGCAGCATTGAATGATCCTATGACTGCCAGCTCTGTTTAAGAGCAGCACGGATTTCTTTCTGGAGTAACAACAGGTTTCTCGTTCTTTGTTTAGGACTATGGGCCTGTACTGCTGAGTGCAAGATCCTGGGTCATTCAGACCGCTGCTGGAGCCCCTCCTGTGGCCGAGCCAACTCTCATCCTTCTCCCCGTCCTTCAGCACCTCTCTCCACCTTCTGCAAAAGCACATCTTTGCCCAGGGATCCCCTGCGCAGAGACAACTTTTACCAGGCGCAGCTGCCCAAGACRGTGGGGCTCCAGAGCGTCTACGAGAAAGTCCTGCACAGGGACTTTGACCGGACAATCACACTGCTCTCCCCTCCACGTCCAGCAAGGCTCCCAGACCTTCAGGAGATCAGGGTGCCCCTCTACCCGTCCCCTTCAACTAGATACCTGGCTCCCCAGACTGACGACGCTGAGAAGGTGTAGCCCTCCACACTCCCCGAGTGCACGCATCCGTACACGCACACGACTAGGTCACTTCCAAGAGCCTTTAAGTTATTGACCAGATCCAGTGTTGTACATGTAAATATGCAAGATGTGCCTTAAAGACGAAGCTGTTGGGAAAGATGTCCAATCACAACAGTACTGTTTGGTATTTGCAAACAAAAATTGTTTGTAGTTAATGTAATTTTTATGAAATGTGCAGTATTTAAGCTTTTCATGTTTTTTTCTCTTCTACACTGTTTTCCTTTTTTTTTTTTTTTTTTGCTTTAGTTCTTTGCTTTTTAGTTCTGCTATTTTTGTAGTGTTTTTAACCTGTATATTGTGTAATGTAATGTTTGTATATAATGAAAATTGGTTATATTTTTATATAATTAAAACTTAAAAAATGGGAATTCTTGCCAAAGGAATTGTCTGAAAGACACAATGATAATTATTAATAATAATATCCTGAATATATAAAATCTTGTAAGGGAAATTCCTCTTTCACCATGTAATAATAACCTAAGCAACCTAGTGTACTGAAAAGTTTGCCTTGCCAAGTGTGACTTGTATTTCTTGAGTCTGTGGTCAATTTAAAGTTAAATGTTATTTAATTAACTTTGGTTTCTGTAACCTGTGTCACTGATAAACACTAATAAAGGTTTTGTGATGTGTTGGAGGGATCTGTTCCTTACTTTGGTCCTTCAAAGCTTATAGGTCTTTAGAAGCAAAATATTTTGGGCAGAGACATGTAGTGGGAGGGAGTGTGAATGAAGCTACTTTTAGTCGCACCCTTTCTTCATCTCAAGCAATATCTCTCTAGAGATTTAACCCCAGAGATTTTAATGATGGGTTACAGAGGGAGAGGGAGGGCTGAGTGACAGAGCTGACCACTACCTGGCTATTRCAGCAAGATCCTTCACTGTTGGAGATGAGTTTAAGCTACCAAAGCTAAACCTCAATTAACTTAAGTGTCCATGATATGAAAGTATCTCACTTGAGTGCTTTGCCTTCTGATATAGCCAAGACATTGATTTGAGGAAAGTTGCATAGGAGTGTGTTTATATCTTGCTGAAGCAGCTTTGCTAATGGACAATAAAATAAATGTGTGTCTCCGTGTGTGTGTATATACATATATTCCAAATGATAGGATGGGTTTATACTTCACATGAAACAGAAAGAATAGATCTCAACTGAACTGAGATTGTGCCTGTGATAAATCTTTTGTTCCCCCCCCACACCTTCAAAATGACAAAGGCCTGAGAAAAAATATTTCCAGCTTTGAACTTCCATYGCCTCAAAGTCTCAAGCTGAAAAGCAGGTCTTAAATCCTTCTACTGAAGTCATGAATAGAGTAGCATTTAATGAAACAAGCTGAAGCCTGAGATTTCCTCCTCYGTTTAGAATGCTTATACCAGAGAAAAATTTTATACAGAGATTTTAAAATTAGAATTAAACTTTTTCCAAAAGGAAGAACTGCTCATTTAGAGTGTATAATTTCACAGGTCTTGTTAGACTTCATGTCTCAAAAAGCAGATAGAAAACAACATCTCACCTGCCCTTAACCAAATAAAATTTCCTTTTTTCCACTGACTTCCAGCTTTCCTAACCTTGCACAGGAAGAGTGATAGAGCCTGACCAAGACTTCATGCATATGCATTCGGGGTTTTAACAGGGACTTCATAAAAGATGCTGCATGAAGATTTGTGGTGGGCAGACAGCATTAGAGGCTCTGCTGTAGTGCACATATTTGAAGAGAATTGAAATCAGGCAAGACTAGACCGTGAAGCAATGTCTGTGATACAGCTTTTATGGMCAGGAAAATGGCTGAGTATATCCGGTGATTTATCTAAAACCTGGTAGTAAAAATCACGATGCATCTAATTAACTAAGAAGTTTGTCCTGTTTGGTTAAATTTAGAGCTGAAATTTGGATTTGGTGTTGGGTGCTGAGAAAAAAAGGCTCAGAGCCTTTCTGCCAGCTAATCATCGGTGATTCAAAGCAGCAAGCCTGAATGTGAAATAATTAGTCATAACTGAGTGCAGGGAGGAAAAGCCTTTCTGTCAAAAAAAAAAAGAAAAAAATAAAGCAGGGCAGCCTGATAGTTGGTTGCTCATCATCTAGTTCAAACRCCTGGGTTGTGCAGTGCAGTACTTACATAGCAAGTCCCTTGCCTCTCATGGGCGATAACTGGTGGGAAGCAGAAGCAACTGAAGGACAGGTCATCCCATTGAATTGAGGCTCTTCGTTCACATTGTTGTCTGTAACAATATATGTATGCATCTCCACAGGGAGATTCACTGATCCTCACTGCCTAGCACTGAGGTTCAACTATCTGAATATGTCAGTCCTTTTGTTTTTGTTTTTGCTTTTGCTTTTGTTTTTGTTTTTACTTTTGTTTTTGTTTTTGTTTTTTAAAGAGAGATATATAGAGAGAGAACTTCAAACATCTGTTTTCCCTCCCAGAGCAGCTTTCAGCAAACTGCTGGAGTCTCATCAGGGCTTGGGGTCTGGAGTCTGCCTGTTATGAGATTTTACATGCTCCCCACAAAATGCAGATTCATCTGCCAGAAGGAGATAACTGAAAGTTCAGYGTTTCAGCTGAACTGAGCACTTTACAGCAGCTCCCTTCTTAGTCAGTGGAGAGATACCAATTCCTTTCGAGATTCTTGAGTTTTGGTTTGTAGAGGTACACTAGGAAGAGTGCAGATGAATTACCACTTGAAGCGCCTGTTGACCTCCTTTTGACTGTAAAGGGCTAGAGGGACCAGCCCAGATTTACTTTTTTACTTCTAGACACCTGAAATTCGGTGAGAAAAGGCCACCCCAGGCTTCATCAACTAACAGTACAAATCATCCAGAGTGCAGAAGAGCATAGAGAAGACTTCTTAGCTCCTTAGTCCCTTTAATAAAACACATGTTCTGTTGGTACCATTTCAGTGTATATATCCTAGTTTATGCTTTTACTTTTTGAATAATATATTCACTTTTTTTGTTGTTGTTGTTGAACTACTCCAGAAATTAATGCAGGACTACCAATTATATTCCATTTATTAGCCTATCATGTTGTAGCATCATCCCTGTGTCACAAGATGGAAAAGAGATTACACTTCTGTGCAACCTCTCATGTCTCACAACCTCTCCATCATGGAGAGCTTGTCTCTCCAGCCTCCCTTTCCCCAACTCAGACAGCAGAGTTGCTATGCTGGGTGCGGAGGTGGAGCAGGAACACAGAACTAGAAGACAACACTCTTTTATGGAGCCAGTCTTAATTCCGTGGCCTTAATTAGTTACACCAGCTGGAGTTTGCAAAAGCTCTAACACGGAGCCTAAGTCTGCTCCCACAGAAGTCTCCACTAGTCATCCACAGCTAAGCAAAGCACTCTTGGCTCCCTTTAGCAATATACTCTTTTAGGGCATGAATCATCTCCTCCTAAATCAGATATCTAAAATACGTCTGGCATATTGCTCTGAGAAGTTCCTGCTTCCACCCTTGCATTCCTATAGGCATCCTGAAGTTGCTGAAGATGTTTGCACTGTGGAGGACCAATATTAAGTGCAACAAGTCCTACCCTATATGCTTTCAAACACTGCCAGGCAGTACTCGCCATGTGACCTTCTGATCTGAGCATAGTGACAGTGTAGAAACTGAGAGGGTTGAGATCAAAATCTTGTTTCCAAGCTCTTCAGACGAAGATACTCACCAGTAGCATCAAGCTAGGCCTTCAGAGACCAGCAGACACAAAAACAAATGACATCATTGCCCAATTTTGTAACAGAGACAAAAGTGAGTTATCCTTGCACTCTCTTTTCAAGAAATTGCATATGAAATTGTAATTACAGGAYCCAGGACCCATGAGAGCAATGTTATTACAGCACTACTGTGAAGTGTGTTGTCTACTGAAGACCCCAGAGATGTTCTGGTCCCGTGRACTTTCAGACAAAATTGTGCAGACCTCAGTAAGTCACAGTAGAAGCAAGACTACCTTCTCCATACACTAGAAAGAGTGGAGCTTCAAAGGAACCTAAAACTAGTCATCAAGGCCTTGAACCAGGACAGCAGGAGATCTGCTCTCTGAATTCTTATTCTGATTCCTAGCCAAAGACTAACTGCAGTAAAACATGCAAACAAGCCATAGAAAGAAGATCCCAGAAGTGCCATAGCCAGAAAATAATGCCAAGCTCCCACTGACCTATTCTTCTCTAGCCTGCATTCCTCCATATCTTCATTAGAATGCTTTATCTTTAATGATCTTTCTTTGGTGAAGACAAACACAATCCATGAGGAAGCCTAAACTTTGATTTCTAAAGGGCATACTCTAGATACAGAACTATTAGTAACATGGGGTTAAAAAAAAAAAGTTTTTAAATGAACATGGCTGTCACCTCTGGGCCAGGAGTTTAATCTCAACATCTCAGCACATGCAAGGAACACTCAGAAAACTGCCTTTGGACCAAGCCCCAAAGGCAGAGATGCCAGGGTGGGATTTAGCTGAAGATTAGGCATATAAACTCTCATGACRGTCAATAGTGAGCTAGCCAGTGGGRTCTTGCAGTCCTGCCCAGTTCATTTTAGTGACCTGCATTCAGGACCTGCATTCTTTTAGCAGAATTACCCTCTAGTCTTGCCTCACTGCCTTTGCCAGCTCACCATGGTATATAGTAGCAGATTACATACCTATTTTATACATAGACATTCATATTGTGGATACTGAAATTTAGGTGAGCACATTCCCACCCTAATCTCTGGACGGTTGAAGTACTTGGGCAAGAGCAGAAGTCCAGCCATTCAGCTTGTAGTGCTGCTCAGCATGTAGGGATACACAAACAGAGGGAAAAKTTTCCTGGCACACCTAGGCCCTTGAGAGGATGAGCTCTCACTGAAAGGAATGGTCCAGTCTCCCTTCTTGCCATTTCCAGCTTCAGGTTCATATGATGGGCCTGGGAGTCCCGTCACTCTCAGGGTTTCTGGGGGCATGCTGCCCATTGACATTATTCACACAGGCGAAGGACACCTTCAAATAGCTCCCAAGTAGAGCTGAGGAATCTGTTACAGAGAGGGAGCAATGCAGGGATGGGGCATTCTGATCACT